GACTCTCCAACTCCTAACAAGACTCCAATACACCATTTGCTTCCTCTCTATCTAACATAAACATGCACATGCTGTAAAGTGATATATGAAGCAGTAAGAAATTGGCATTCATTTTATGCTGAAATAACAAAATTAAAATAATGGGTACTGGAAAGATCCATCTGCACTCATCTCCAGGAAGCTACAGTTTTTCTATTCAAATTAAAAGCACAGCATTTAAAATAGCAAAAGAAATTAGAAACCGAATCTGCAGAAAGCCAGTCAGATGCTACCAAGCAAAATGAAGGCAAAAATGAACAAGAGCATCGAGAAGAGTAAAAAATGGTATACCTGCTGTTCTGTCATCTGAAGAAAAGCAATAGTATAGTACACCAATTCTCTGATATTACCCCCAACCACCTATAGAAGTGAAAACCACAGATCAAAGCAACCGTACAATAGACCAGAATCAGCAAAAAAAATATAGCAAGAATACTCTGAACCAAACCTTTCTCAGTCTTGTATTACCCACAATAGTCAACATGAGTTCAAAGAGCTGCAAATAAAAAAAATAGATGAAAAATGATAATTCAAAAGTTATCATAAAGTAACAAACTAACAGAAAAGAAATTTTATAATTCTGAGGTATATAGAGACTACAGAAGGTCATCCAGTTGACTGGATCAGTTATCACAACCTGACAGTGACAGCTGCAATAAACTACTCTAACAGAATACAACCATAATGATGATTGTAACTGACTAACAATGCAAACCACAGCCAGTTGATTACTTAGAAGTCTATAATTATAACTTTCAACATTTTCCATACAATTCAGCAAAAACAGCTATAAAACACTCATAAAAGGTATAAATCCAACAAAGAGGTTCCTTTTCATGAATAAACTGATGAAGCCACAATACTAATTAATGAAAAAAAGGCTTATTTTCATTGCAGTGACTGCTGTATCCCCCTTGGATTCAGGTGACCAGTTTAATATAGGTATCCTCCTTGCCAAATAACAAGCTAAAGGAGACCACCAAAAGTCAGTCAGTTAACTTTGACATAAAAATAAATTGAGCAGAATATTGTCATTTTATGCAATATAAAATAATCAACATGAGAAACTGCTGGCTGCTATCCTCACCTGGATAACAAAAGAATCAAGGCTTTTCTCTGAACCATCAGAATCATATCTTCCATCATATGAATCTTCAGTTCCTTCAATAGCAGCTTTCTCATAAACTCTCAAAGAAGAGACAAATGTATTCCACAGAGGTCCAAGTATAACTACAGGGAAAAACCTCTCGTAAACAAATAAGTCAAAGAACTAAAAACAAATGCCTAGAAGCTCAACTTAGGGAAAAACATACCCTCAAATTCACTTTTAAAGAGACTTGAAAAATTTTGAATGAACTGATTCAAGCACTTCAAAACCTTGAAAAAGAAAAATACAACATCATGTTACTACATAGGAAAGATATGCATGTATGTGTGCTTGTATACTATACATACACACAAGACACATGAATATAACTATATATAAACACATATAGATAGATTAACCTCCATTTTGATACTCCAATCATCGGGATTTTCAGATTGAACTGGAATTTCTAGAATAGAAGAGAATTGGCCCATCCATGGTTTAACCAAAGGAGCTATCAGAGAACTTGTTTCTGCCTAAACAGAATACTTTGATCTGTTAATAGTTTAAAAGAAAAATACACTAACCCAACAATCCACTCAAACAGTTCACAGTCACTTAAGTGACAAAATACCTTGTAGACACCACTCATTGTCCCCAGCATAGATGTACAAGAATAGATTATAGAAAGGGCCTTTGATCGAATGTATGTGTCATATTTCTGAATGGCAACAAGAAAATAAGAAATATGTTTTTGGTCAGACAAAAGAGACTCAGTTCACCATAGAAACCAAAAAAAAAAGTGGTAATTTTCCTTTATTTTCTTCGTTTTTTAAATTGAAGAATTTAAAGATTTAGAAAAGTATTTAAATGAGTTATCAAAAAATTAACAAAAGGAAAGTATTTCAATTTTACTTCAAAAACATCCACTGACATAATGGAAAAATCTTTTTACAAACGAAAATTGACAACTAATATGCAAAATATAGGTAAAAAGGACTTCTTAATTCCAATAATATGCTCTTTTCCTTTTTGATGTTGAAAGTTAAGACAACGCAATAATGGAGATAATGTAGGATAAAGATATAACGTCAACTTTTGATGATGAATAACTCCTTTCCAGACTTTTAGCATAGCCAATTTAGTTCAGAAAGATATACAAAATACAACCTGGGGAGATGATACAATTGTCAGCAAACTCGGGAAGAGAGCAGGTATTAATGTTGGAACCATTTTATCATCCAAGTCCGCAGAGAGAAGAGTCAAGCATCTCATAGCGCCATGCACTAGAATAAAATTATTAAAAGACAAATAATAAATCTAATTAACATATTGAAATTCCATAAAATTGTAATATGGTACAATTATTGATCATAAAATTATTTCCAGAAAACCCAATAGAGAAAGTAAATGAATCAACTAGTAGCCAGCATGAAAGAAAATCATCAAGCAAACCATTTACAATTCAGGGATATAAACTGCTCATACCATAAATGTTTGGTCTCTACTATACAAAAATGGAGTGCTTGGTACAGCCAAGGCTTTTTCCAAATCATTTACACATACAAAATCCCAAAAATCAACTCAAACAAAAATGCTTACCTCCATTCAAGTTGGCTTGGTTATTGATCAAATTTAGAAGAAATGGTAACAAATCTGGCCATAACTCTGGCCAGTCATGCACTGCAATGGATGCAACAGCCATACCAATGGCCGTGCAAATTTTTCTATGAGGATCATCCAATGCCAATAGAAGCATTCTTCGGATGATTTCCTGGCAATGTAGCATACATTAGTTACCATAAAAAAATGACTAAGTAGTCAGTTCAATTAAATGGCCATACAGAAAATAAAATTAAATAAAATAAAAAACTAAGATTGGCATGGAACTACAAAAGGCTAATCAGTGATGTATAAACCTATCATTTAACATTCCAGAAATTCAGGTTCAGCAAACTAATATTATTTGGAGTGCTATATATGAGATCCACGAGCAAGACTTTGAACCCATAATAAATAATAAGTCAAAAGGTCAGTCAAAAGGCATAGAAACCTTGCTATTACCCTCCATCCTTATCCAATAAAAGAGATATCCATCAGACCTAAAGCTCAATGGAGGGAAGACAAAGCAGCAGGTGGACAGCTCTGACAACAGATGTTTTTATGATAGTTTTTAGAGCTTATTCATACTACTCTTTCTAACTTATGAGACAAAAACAATAAAAATTGGTTTTTTGTTGCTTTTCATATTTTAAAAATTTGTCCAATTATCTTAATCTTCCACATTATTATTTAAAAATATATTTTCTATAAATAAACAACAATGAGCAATTCATCTTTTTAAGAGTAACTCAATGGTGACCTTTCTTTGAATCACCATTCACCACATTTGGACACACTTTCTTGAAACAAAAGACTTTCAATAAAAGAAATCCACAAACTTAGAATTCTCCACCTACTATATGGCATAATCTAATGAGTCAATCGCTAAGACAAATCAGGCTCCGATACCACTTTTCGATACTTCATGTTGGACGTGGTTTGGTTCTATTCTTTCATTTCCAATGCCACAAGTTGGACTTGGTTTATGTCCATTTTACTTCTAAAATTGTGTTTGTATCTATAAATTTTGTGTTTGTATCTATAACATGTTTAGGTCCTAAAATTTTAAAATGTTTGGAAGTGNGACTCTCCAACTCCTAACAAGACTCCAATACACCATTTGCTTCCTCTCTATCTAACATAAACATGCACATGCTGTAAAGTGATATATGAAGCAGTAAGAAATTGGCATTCATTTTATGCTGAAATAACAAAATTAAAATAATGGGTACTGGAAAGATCCATCTGCACTCATCTCCAGGAAGCTACAGTTTTTCTATTCAAATTAAAAGCACAGCATTTAAAATAGCAAAAGAAATTAGAAACCGAATCTGCAGAAAGCCAGTCAGATGCTACCAAGCAAAATGAAGGCAAAAATGAACAAGAGCATCGAGAAGAGTAAAAAATGGTATACCTGCTGTTCTGTCATCTGAAGAAAAGCAATAGTATAGTACACCAATTCTCTGATATTACCCCCAACCACCTATAGAAGTGAAAACCACAGATCAAAGCAACCGTACAATAGACCAGAATCAGCAAAAAAAATATAGCAAGAATACTCTGAACCAAACCTTTCTCAGTCTTGTATTACCCACAATAGTCAACATGAGTTCAAAGAGCTGCAAATAAAAAAAATAGATGAAAAATGATAATTCAAAAGTTATCATAAAGTAACAAACTAACAGAAAAGAAATTTTATAATTCTGAGGTATATAGAGACTACAGAAGGTCATCCAGTTGACTGGATCAGTTATCACAACCTGACAGTGACAGCTGCAATAAACTACTCTAACAGAATACAACCATAATGATGATTGTAACTGACTAACAATGCAAACCACAGCCAGTTGATTACTTAGAAGTCTATAATTATAACTTTCAACATTTTCCATACAATTCAGCAAAAACAGCTATAAAACACTCATAAAAGGTATAAATCCAACAAAGAGGTTCCTTTTCATGAATAAACTGATGAAGCCACAATACTAATTAATGAAAAAAAGGCTTATTTTCATTGCAGTGACTGCTGTATCCCCCTTGGATTCAGGTGACCAGTTTAATATAGGTATCCTCCTTGCCAAATAACAAGCTAAAGGAGACCACCAAAAGTCAGTCAGTTAACTTTGACATAAAAATACATTGAGCAGAATATTGTCATTTTATGCAATATAAAATAATCAACATGAGAAACTGCTGGCTGCTATCCTCACCTGGATAACAAATGAATCAAGGCTTTTCTCTGAACCATCAGAATCATATCTTCCATCATATGAATCTTCAGTTCCTTCAATAGCAGCTTTCTCATAAACTCTCAAAGAAGAGACAAATGTATTCCACAGAGGTCCTAGTATAACTACAGGGAAAAACCTCTCGTAAACAAATAAGTCAAAGAACTAAAAACAAATGCCTAGAAGCTCAACTTAGGGAAAAACATACCCTCAAATTCACTTTTAAAGAGACTTGAAAAATTTTGAATGAACTGATTCAAGCACTTCAAAACCTTGACAAAGAAAAATACAACATCATGTTACTACATAGGAAAGATATGCATGTATGTGTGCTTGTATACTATACATACACACAAGACACATGAATATAACTATATATAAACACATATAGATAGATTAACCTCCATTTTGATACTCCAATCATCGGGATTTTCAGATTGAACTGGAATTTCTAGAATAGAAGAGAATTGGCCCATCCATGGTTTAACCAAAGGAGCTATCAGAGAACTTGTTTCTGCCTAAACAGAATACTTTGATCTGTTAATAGTTTAAAAGAAAAATACACTAACCCAACAATCCACTCAAACAGTTCACAGTCACTTAAGTGACAAAATACCTTGTAGACACCACTCATTGTCCCCAGCATAGATGTACAAGAATAGATTATAGAAAGGGCCTTTGATCGAATGTATGTGTCATATTTCTGAATGGCAACAAGAAAATAAGAAATATGTTTTTGGTCAGACAAAAGAGACTCAGTTCACCATAGAAACCAAAAAAAAAAGTGGTAATTTTCCTTTATTTTCTTCGTTTTTTAAATTGAAGAATTTAAAGATTTAGAAAAGTATTTAAATGAGTTATCAAAAAATTAACAAAAGGAAAGTATTTCAATTTTACTTCAAAAACATCCACTGACATAATGGAAAAATCTTTTTACAAACGAAAATTGACAACTAATATGCAAAATATAGGTAAAAAGGACTTCTTAATTCCAATAATATGCTCTTTTCCTTTTTGATGTTGAAAGTTAAGACAACGCAATAATGGAGATAATGTAGGATAAAGATATAACGTCAACTTTTGATGATGAATAACTCCTTTCCAGACTTTTAGCATAGCCAATTTAGTTCAGAAAGATATACAAAATACAACCTGGGGAGATGATACAATTGTCAGCAAACTCGGGAAGAGAGCAGGTATTAATGTTGGAACCATTTTATCATCCAAGTCCGCAGAGAGAAGAGTCAAGCATCTCATAGCGCCATGCACTAGAATAAAATTATTAAAAGACAAATAATAAATCTAATTAACATATTGAAATTCCATAAAATTGTAATATGGTACAATTATTGATCATAAAATTATTTCCAGAAAACCCAATAGAGAAAGTAAATGAATCAATTAGTAGCCAGCATGAGAGAAAATCATCAAGCAAACCATTTACAATTCAGGGATATAAACTGCTCATACCATAAATGTTTGGTCTCTACTATACAAAAATGGAGTGCTTGGTACAGCCAAGGCTTTTTCCAAATCATTTACACATACAAAATCCCAAAAATCAACTCAAACAAAAATGCTTACCTCCATTCAAGTTGGCTTGGTTATTGATCAAATTTAGAAGAAATGGTAACAAATCTGGCCATAACTCTGGCCAGTCATGCACTGCAATGGATGCAACAGCCATACCAATGGCCGTGCAAATTTTTCTATGAGGATCATCCAATGCCAATAGAAGCATTCTTCGGATGATTTCCTGGCAATGTAGCATACATTAGTTACCATAAAAAAATGACTAAGTAGTCAGTTCAATTAAATGGCCATACAGAAAATAAAATTAAATAAAATAAAAAACTAAGATTGGCATGGAACTACAAAAGGCTAATCAGTGATGTATAAACCTATCATTTAACATTCCAGAAATTCAGGTTCAGCAAACTAATATTATTTGGAGTGCTATATATGAGATCCACGAGCAAGACTTTGAACCCATAATAAATAATAAGTCAAAAGGTCAGTCAAAAGGCATAGAAACCTTGCTATTACCCTCCATCCTTATCCAATAAAAGAGATATCCATCAGACCTAAAGCTCAATGGAGGGAAGACAAAGCAGCAGGTGGACAGCTCTGACAACAGATGTTTTTATGATAGTTTTTAGAGCTTATTCATACTACTCTTTCTAACTTATGAGACAAAAACAATAAAAATTGGTTTTTTGTTGCTTTTCATATTTTAAAAATTTGTCCAATTATCTTAATCTTCCACATTATTATTTAAAAATATATTTTCTATAAATAAACAACAATGAGCAATTCATCTTTTTAAGAGTAACTCAATGGTGACCTTTCTTTGAATCACCATTCACCACATTTGGACACACTTTCTTGAAACAAAAGACTTTCAATAAAAGAAATCCACAAACTTAGAATTCTCCACCTACTATATGTCATAATCTAATGAGTCAATCGCTAAGACAAATCAGGCTCCGATACCACTTTTCGATACTTCATGTTGGACGTGGTTTGGTTCTATTCTTTCATTTCCAATGCCACAAGTTGGACTTGGTTTATGTCCATTTTACTTCTAAAATTGTGTTTGTATCTATAAATTTTGTGTTTGTATCTATAACATGTTTAGGTCCTAAAATTTTAAAATGTTTGGAAGTGAGATGGTGATAAAGATGCTGATAGAAACTTTTTTAGTTATTTAATTGTTATCACTTTTTTTTATGAAAACTCATGTGAGGCATCACTATGATCCTTGGCATCTCAGTTAAGTTGACACCCTCAGGAACATCGATCATATGCCATCACATGAAAATATCATTGAAAACAAAAAAAAAAAGATATAAAGAACTCATGGGGGACCCAACCAAAACCCATGAACAAAAAAACAGGCCACCTATAAAGCTATACACAAGTTAAGAAGCGTTATACATAGGAAAAAGAAACCTTATGATAAAAGTCCAAACTTATAAAAGCTGACATAATTGTATACCATCTAAACACTTCTCAAGAAGACAGGCCTAAACTCACCAACTTATCAACACAATGATTTCCTTCCCAAACAAATATTTGACACCAACGACCTCTAATTTTTATCACTTTAACAACTTCTGTTTTGTAATTGTATGAACTTATTTATTGGAGTAGTTTGAACTTATATAGTAGTTATGCACCATTAAACTTAGCTATTGTAGAATAGTGGAGTTGTTGTTTTACTAGTTTGCTTAATCAAAATGTTGAACTATTGAATTGGTATTGCTATTTATGAGTATTAAATATTTTTTTCATATGAAGTAGACTCTAAATGATAGCCATGGGTACAACTGTAAGCTAGTTACAGTTGTTATAACTGCAAGTTTATTTTTTATCCTTGTGTTGTTATAAATAGTTGAGTCTTACCATTGAAATGTAAGTCCTTGTGCTCTCTCAATATAATGAAAGCAGTTCCTTCTTCTACTCTGTTGTTCTAATACAACCTAACCCCTGAATGGTGCCACAACTACTGGGACAGGAAGGCTCTATGAGTCTTAGGAGCAGCAAGCTCTGCTCTGCTAACCCATCACCACATGCAATTGACTACTATGGGCTAGTCCTAGCACAATGGTGAATTGTGCCTTGACCAATTTAGTCGTCTGTTTGAATCTGCAAACAGCCTATTTGCAACATCAAGGGTAAGACTGCATAACCATTACAGAGTGAGAAGCCTTCTGGCACTGGTGTACAATAATTAATTTTTATTAAAACAATAAAAAATGATTGAGTTAGACTTTTCAATAAACAATAAACATAGAAAGTATGGATTGTAGAAAATAGAAAGGAAAATGCAGAATAGCTATGGAATGCTATATCCTGCTCAAGCCCAATCCAAGCTTTCTAGTCTGTAACTTATAACCACCTCCAACTTTGCACACCTCCTTCTGGACCTCACTCACACTTCCACATGGCATAACAGCCTCTCCTTCTGCTTCTTCTTCACATATTGGGTTCAAAGATGTCATCAGTTTCTATATATTTAAATCTCAACTAAAACAAGCTCAGAATATTTTTCAAAAATACCTTTTAGAAATCCACTTACCAATAATACTCAATAGAAATAAATGCATATTTACCTTTTCATCAGTAGAGATAACAGGAGGTTCAAAAGTGTCCTCACCCTCCTGCCAATGCTTTTTAACTAACTGCTTAATAAGGACAGCAGCTAAGTACAACAAGGTTAAGTTATACAAGTTCCCAATAAACGGAAGAAGGAAAATAAATAATTTACTGGTACAAATATTGGAGTTGTAATCCTAGTAAAGTTTTTCAAATGTGAATGGAAAAAAGGAATAGATAAGAAAGCATAAGACGTGTTAATCCTAAAGGAAAAAGGGGGCATTTAAGAAAATACTAATTTCTTTAAGAAAAAGAATGAAAGATAGAAGGAAATATTTTGGCTCTGAATAAAAGTGCAGAACATGTGATCATTATGAAATAGGATATCTGACGCAGTCCCACCGCGAGCTCCTTGTTTGCAGTAACTTTTGATAATGCACTGCCAAAACCTTCAGGGCAATTTAACATTCGAAATTAACATGGAAAAATCATGATTGAGCGGTATTGAGAATTTTTGTCAAATAAAAACAGTAGTGAATGAGCACCCCAAGTTATGTTCTTCATCTCAATGGCCAAGCTAAAGAAATGTATACATATTACAAAAGTAGATAAAGCCAAACAAAAAACATGTTTCACTAAAATCAGTGAAGCATATAAGTCCCATTTAAGTATGAAAATACAACTTCCATTTACGAATGACAACTTTCAAGCCAATACAAGATTGAGGCATAACATCATTGTCATAAGTTCACGCTCAACAAGCTACCACCCCAGTGAATATCCTCATTTCCTTGTTACATGCTTATGCAGATGCCTCCACCCTCTAAATATCATAAACCACTCCTCCTCTCATCTTTTTAGTCACACACTAAAAAAAAAAAAAAACAACAACAGCATTGTCAAACAAACTCAATTTCCCAAACCCATTACCCCCTCAAGTCCTCAACTGAAAAACACTCACTCCCACGCTACCACCACACCACATAAACAGCAAGCATAACATCTAACAAACAACCCACCACAATCGCTCTTGTCTTCGAAAAGAAAAGAAAACAAAAACAGTCCAACCTAGACACTCCATAAGGTTTTCACACCACAGAGCAAAATCCGCATTCAATTAGGTTGCAGGCGATGAAAATTAAAATGATGAAGAAAACCTGGTTGGCGAGAGGCCTGATCGAGGGATGCTTCGGCGAAACATCGAACCTCGGGGTTGGGGTCGAGTGTGGCAGACAAACAATTGAGTAGCCATTGCTGATCTTGATCCATTAACGGAAAACCCTAAAGCACAATGTAACGGCGACGTTAGTGGTTTGCGCTACTTGCCAGTTCACTGGGCTGCTTTTTCCCGCTCTGCTGAAGAAGGATATATACACACATGAGAGAGGAGAGGCGTTTTCAAGTATTAGTAAAGAAGACTACTGAGCAGTGGCAGAAATGAAATTTTGTTAGTTGCTGCCTTGTGGATCTCTATTCCTCCATTTCATCAATAGTTAGCTCTTAATTTAAGGTGAAAAATCATGACTTAAATGTTTTATATATTAACAATTATTTTTGTCTATATTCTTTTAATAAGTGAAAATAATATAAAATATTAAATTTATATACACGGCAGTGGCATAAATTAATTTTTTTTAGTTGTTGCATATGTTAATCTTTCATTTTATTTATGGCTAAAATGTTAGTTTAAACAAAGGAATTTAACTCCATTTTATGATTTAAATGTTTCATATATTAAATATTAAGCATATATTCTTTTAATAATTAAAATAATATAAAATATTGAATTTCAATCGATAAACTACTTTAATAGTTTAATAATAATGTATTGATAAGAGTTTTTCACTACTTTTATGACATGGGAATTAATATAATTTGTAATGATAAAAGTAAACCTAACTGTCAAATTTATCGAGATGGCACATTTGAGAAGTTGCTCCCTCCACCACCCTAGGACGTTATTTGCACCACTCCATTCCAATTTGACTTCTGATCTCCCTCGGTAAATATTTTTAACTTCCAACTACTTTTCACTCATATTTACACCCGTTCCCACCGATATATAGACTTTGCACCCCATGTATTTGATGTTTGAGCTCAAATTCTCTGCTTCTCATCTCCTCCCTGTGTGTTTCTCTTCTTCCTGGTGTGTTTTGTTGGAGGTGGAAAGCTTCAGTGCGTGGCGTGGTGTAGTGGTAGCGTGGTGTAGTGGTAGTTATTAAAGGTGGTGGTGCATTGGTTGTTGAAGGTGGTTGAAGGTCGTGCAGCGGGTTGATTAAGCAAAGCAACGGAAACAAGTGTGGATAAATAAAACAGATGTCAATATTTGTTGTGCAACGGATATGAAGATACGTGAACGGATATGGGGATCCGTTGAAGGGTGGATTGACCGATGTTGATATTTGTTTCACACAAAACGAACATTGACATCTGTTTCAGTGTTTTAATTATTAGTTATTTTTATATTTTTGTATTTATATTATTTTAGTTATTTTTATTGGTTTATATTCTTAATACTGTGCAACGATGTCAGCATGCGTTTAGTAAGGGAACGGATATGGGAAACCGTCGATGGGGTGTAGGGCAGATTTAGGGTTTTAAAAAAATTTAGTCAAGTTAAATAGTAAAACTTATATTTACTGTGGGTATTTTCGGAATATATGAAAAGTAGAGAGGTGCAGGAGTATTACGTGGTGGTGGAAGGAGCAACTGCCTATGGCTTAATATTATTGTTGATATCTATTTTGGTCAACTTTGTTCCATGGGAGATTTATTTTTTCGAATGTTCAATGTAGTCTTTTATATATTTATGTTCAATTTGGTCCTGACGATGTTTAAATTGTTCACGTCATAGTATCCAGGTCAGTCATTAAGAATGATTTGTCACACAATAATGTTTACAATGGTTGACTCACAGCATCATCATCATCTTTCCCAAATCAAACACCCTAATTTCTGTAGGTTTTTGTGATTTAATGGAAAACGATTTAGGAGTTTCGTTCCTTGCAAATGGATTTGCGTAAATAATGGAGGTTGAACAAGTTCAGTGGTGCGATTTGGAATTTTACAGGTTTTCATGGAAGAGGCACGATTTCACGAATTGGGGGTTCATCGTGAATTGAGTTTTTGCGATTTGGGTTTTGTGATTTTTGGGTTTTCTCCAAGTTTAATGATTTTGTGATTTTTGGAGTATCACTTTGTAGGCTTTCGTGAAGTTGAGGAGAAGATCAAGATGGTGAAATGTTGATAGTGGTTCTCATGGTGCATAGCTATTTGGGCTCACAGTGTATAGCTATTTGGGCTCACATGTAGGTCTGATTCGTTGTAGTGAAAAGTTTCTTTTATAGATTAGGTTTCTATGTTTATTCGTGGTGGCTTGTGCGATTGCTAACGGCGAAGCTTGTGGTGGTTCGACGACGCTCGTGGTGGTCCGACGACGTGGAGAAGATGATGGCCTAAGTGTGGTGCACAGCGGCGGGCTAGTGGAAGAAAAATTAGGGTTTCTGATTTGGGAAAAATGGTGATGATGTGGTAAGATGTGTGACATGTTATTACATTTTTTTTTTACGTGGAATCTACACAGTTGACAATTTAAACGGCGTTAGCGAAAAGAATCAAATTATACATAAATTACGAAATTATAAACTCTATTGAACATTCACAAAAAATAAATATTAAATCGAACAAAATTGACAAGGGATCATTGAAAAATAAATCAAATTCATTGGTAGGCGAGATTTAGCTTTCTTAGATATGGTAAATACCAAATTAGATCAGAAACTGATACTGTAAATGTAAGTTATCAACCTATATCATAACGATAATAATAATAATAATAATAATAATAATAATAATAATAATGATAATAAAAAGTTATGATAATAATAAAACATTATTAATAATAATAAGATTTAATCACGACTGCTTAATAAATTTGAAAACTTTCAATTAAATCTTTAATAACTTTTTATGAGTTATTAAATCTTTAAAAATTTAAAATTTTTCAATTAAAATTTTGTTAATTAGAATAACAATTGAGTGATGTGATGGTTATCTTGCACAAATCTTATTTTCACTTCGACATATGTAATTTTATAATATTGAGTGTGAAACACGTCGATAGCACGCCAATAACATAAACATTGTTACACATTATTATCACAAACAAACAGTATATTCCTCGTACCTTACTATACTACTTATTCACCACAACCAATCAATTTGAGCCGTCCTGCCATCCAATTCAAGATCTATCCTTTTCCCGTATACACAGTCAAAGAGAACATTTTTCTCGAATTCAAGATCTGTCATTTTTATCGAATTCTATAGGAACATACCAGTGATCATACTATATAGTTGACCCATTATTGAAAGCTCATCCACACGCTATCTAATTAAATGAAGGCTGTCATCTGATATCTCCAAACATTTTACCTCCAACTTCACTTTTCAAAATAGTCCTTTAAAGTTAATTGTCGCACCGAACCGGGATTCGCGCGGGACGGCGACCCGAAAAACAACGGGTTTGAGCAAAAAGATTCTTGGAGTCCCACCATAATTTATTATGGAAAAACTATGGAAAACCAAAAATAGACATGGTCTGGCGAAAATAATTTTTAGGTTCGTGAATCGGTTACGCGTAAGGAAGGTGTAGCACCCTATCGCGCCTCCCAAAGGCAGTACCTTTAATTAAGTGTATAAAGATTGAAGTGGTTTTCTTAAATGTTTTAACTTTTCTCCTAAAAAAATAATATAAATAAACTATTAAGAGACAAAAATATATTTTTTGTTTTATGAACCCGACAAGATTGACCTTGGTCCTACGTATATCCATTTAATGAACAATCAGGGATCACGTAGTTCTTTATCTAGAAAAAGGTTTGTGAGTTTGTTTAAAAAAATATTATAGATTGATTTGGATTTTTGGAAAGTGAACACGACAAAATAGGTGGGTGTTCTACAAACGTCCTGATCTTTTTTTATTTTACCAGCATTTTGTGGATTTGTTTTATTTTAGCCACGGTGGGAAAAAAAGGAAAGAACCGGGATCATATGTCGCGTGTACTATACTTCCCAAAAAATCATGATTTTTTACAGAAGAACGTCATTTGTATATACAAAAAAATAAAACCTTTATAAAAAACCTTCAAATTGCAACAAAAAGAAAAAAAGAGGGGGTGAAGATGTCGTACCTTTCAAGCTTTCAATACTCCTAATTCTTCTTTGGTAATTTCTGTTGCAGAGTTCCTCTAGCAATGATAAATTACTTTTCTATATCCTCTCTTATACTTTTCTATCTCGATTATTCCCTAGTGTCTCTCTCTATTTTTTCTTTTTTTTCTTTTTTTTTTCTAGCAGAGTGCGTATTTATATACACACATTGATCATATAATGGTCTAAGACTTGCCTTAATTGTGAATTAATTGACAATAACACAACATAGGGAATAATATTGCCATGGTTCTAGACAAACAAATTAAATAATATTCAAAACATTGATTATCAATTATTGTCCAGAAAATCATAATTTCTCTTTAAAAGCACTGATGCAACAATTATGTTAATATAAGCGATTTTAATTTATTGTTCATGATTAAATAGCATATATAATTAATTCAATTTTTACCATATTAAAACTAACATTTCAAAATATATGTAGTAAAAGGTCCATTTTTTGTCCCTTTTTACCCACCATTTAATTCTATTATTCTTATTTTTTTATTATTTTTAATATTTACTTTTACCCCTTGACGAATTGGGTGTTGACGCTCCCCTCTTTATTTGGATTTTTGTGGATAACATGAACCTTAGATTTGTGTTTATCACCCAGTAAAGCTCAATAAAGATAAGACTGCTAATTTCGTTCGGGTCTAAAGAAAATGAGAAGGGTTACCCTCGAAGCTTTACCTGTCAACATGTGCACCCCCTTTGGTGGACCTCTGCTGGATAGTAATCCGTATGACACTGTGTGTAGGGTGTTGTTTCGGATACCCTCTAAGAAAACTTCTGTTCGTATAACTTTTTTTTTGTGGAGGTTGGTCAGTGCGCGAGGAACCTCGTAAAATTTAAGTGGTGTTAGGGGCAGGTAACACTCGTATAACTTGAATGATGGAGGCAGGAACCTCGTTAAAATAAATGGTGAGGACGGAACCTCGTTAAAACTTGATGGTGAGGCTCACGAACCTCGTAAAATTATGATGGGTGAGGGGCAGGACCGTAACTTAAGAGGACATACGTATACAAAGTTGAGGAATACGCGTAAATAATGTAGGGCAGAACCTCGTAACTTTGAATGATGACGGGCAGGAACCTCTAATATGGAGTGGGTCCCGAACCTTTGATTTACGCTTAATGTAGGAGTTGTACTTCCTTCAGGTAACCCTTCGTGGTTAGGG